ATATATATATATATATATATATATATGCCACCTTTGATATACATGAAAATGATGTTTTTTATTTTTTAAATGTTAAAATAATGTCACTTGATATGATATGGCAGTTTTGGGAGGTATAAAGGTTAGGAGTAAAGTTTAGATATTAGATATGTAAATATATAAGAATTGAGTGGTACGTATGTGAATGCCTTAAATTATTATTTGATTTTAATTTAGCTCATAATTAATTTCAAGAAAAAAAAAAGATGTTAGACTTGGACTAAATGCAATCATGATTAAATGCATTTATTTTTGAAATATTTTAGGGGCTATTGCGTATATATATATATAGTATTTGATTTGCACAAATCTTGAGACCATCTAATGGTATAGATCGTAGAAGAAAAACTACTAGTCTTCACGAGTCCAACAAACTGAAGACAATCAACTGACCGATAGTTAATCAATCAAAGTGCTACAGACCGACCAATAGGCCACCCAGGACAATCCAACAAATGACTTACTCGCGTCAGTGGCATTAATTGTGAATTACTTGCGCCATCAAATGAAGCTCTCGTTTGATGGAATTAATAAATTTCATATATTGTACTGAGAAAATGAATGTTGCTCCTAGGGTTGAGCATTTGATTGGTTCAGATGGATCATTTTTGAAATTGGTTAAACCAATTATAACCGAAATCCATAATCCGGAAAACCGAACCAATCTAAATTTAGATAAAATCGAACCGATCTAACCGAAATTTAATTCAATTTAAATAGTTTCGCTATGAAAAAACCTAAAATTTAATTGTTTATTGAAATTTAGCTAAGAATAAGCATTACGAATCATATATTTTAATCACATAGTATCTATTTGATTTCATGAATCCTCTATTTATTTCAATCTAGCATTATATATAATAATTTTTTTTTGATTTTTTTTGTTTATTCCACATAAAATTAAATTATAATAATTTTTTTTAATAAAATTTTAATTCATCAATTTGTTCGGTTAATTGAAAATTAAAAAGAACCGAAAACTGAAAATCAAATATTAAAGTTTTAAAAACAGAGAACCGAACCGAACCAACCAGACTTGATTGGTTCAGTTCAATTTTTCAATTTTGACCAAATAACGCACACCCCTAACTGTTTCGTCCGTACATCTCCTATTAAATTTACACTTGCACTTAAATTTGTTGTTATTCTAGTGTTTATGTTGCACAGGAAAAATTTGGGAAATGACCATTATAAAAGGGGTAAATTATAATAATTTTTTTTAATAAAATTTTAATTTATCAATTTGTTCGATAAGATTAACTTACATATCACTCAATTCTAATGTATTTACATATCTAACACCTAAACTTCAATTTTTACATACATACCCCCACCTTATGATGTATTTTACAAAAATTAAAATAGTGGTACTTTCATGTGATATAAAAGATTTAAGTGGTATAAATGTGTTAGATATGTAACTATTTGTAGTAATTGGGTGATATGACAAGTTATTTCATTTTGTGACCATAATAAATCATCTCAATCAATTAATTAAGAAATTTTTTTAGAAATGTACTCCTGCTTTCTAAGATCGTAATTGGGTGATATGACAAGTTATTTCATTTTGTGTTCATAATAAATCATCTCAATCAATTAATTAAGAAAATTTTTTAGAAATGTACTCCTGCTTTCTAAGATATGTAACTATTGCCCTCTAAACATTTTTTTAATAAATAATATTTATTTTATTTCAAACTATATTCAAATAAATGACTCAACATTTATAAATTTTGACAATTTCTTATTTTAAAAAACAATAATCTAAAACGTCTTATATTTGTGATGTAGAAAATTTACATAAATAATTTTTATCTTATAATACTGTATTGTTACACCCATCATATTGATATAAAAGTTAATTTAATATAAAAATAATATATAGCTAATCTAAATTTATGTAAATAATTTACACAAAATATATTCATACATTATAACACGTCACATGCAAACTTAAGGAAATTCCGTTTCATCGAAATTTAAACTAAAATAAAATTAAACTAATTGAAATAATTTAAATTTTGTATTGTGGAGAAAGAGAAATTAGAAATTAAGAAAAGAAAAGAAAAAATAAGAAAGATGTGGATGGATAATGAAATAGAGATGGAGAGAGCTAGTGATAGCGAAAGAGGGCAATGGATGCCATATAAGTCAAAATCCCTCATAATATGGAGGTGGCTAAGGGACCCACATCGACCACACAGGGTCACTAGTCAATATAATTTATTTTTAATATATAAAAATTTCTTTTTTATCACATATAAAATATCATTATTTTTAATTTTTTGAAGCGCTTTGGGAATAGTTATGTAAATATATAAGTCCTTGTGAGAACCAAACAAAACTAGTTCACATTCTGTACTAATCATGGTCAGTTCGATCACATTCAACCCATATCTCCTTTGTTCCTTTTCCTCGATGCAGAGATTCTCTCCTTTTTCTAGGCGGTAAAAAAGATTTAAAGGAGGGAGGAGAAGAAAAAAATTAAAAAGATAAAGTTTTTGGGGGGTTTAAAATGAAAAGAAAATGTTGAAAGAAGAAGGAGGTGGACATTTAATCATTTCCGCAGAGCTTCAGATTAAATATTAATGGCGGGCTCAGATCTGAGGAGCTGTGATCTCCCTTTTGGGTGAGCTGTGGTTTTGTCCCTCTCCTTAGAAAAGAAAAAAAAAATCCTTTTTACACTTTTCTCCTCTCTGATTTACTTTCTTTTATTTTATTATTGTTTTCCATGGTTCTCTGAAACCGTGAAATCTGTAAGGTCCAAACAAAAAGTAGCAGGTATTGAAGTAGGAAAATGGCGGGTTGTTGTTAGTATTAGTGCTCTGTAAACCAACTCCACAGTCTTCTTTCCTTCTTCTACCTTTTCTCCCACTTCACTTTCCTCTAAATGCTGTGAGGAATGTTTTTGTTCTCTGAGACACCGCTGTTAAGAGAATGAGGATCTCAGAGATTGAGGTCCATCTTCAATGGAGGCTTCAAGCTCTTCCCTTTATGCTTCTCCTTCTCTGTAAGCCGTCTTCTTTACTTGCTTTAAGTAAAGATGGAGTCTTGCTGCTCTCCTTCAAGCATTCCGTGCTCGGGGATCCTTTGTCGGTGCTCGCCGACTGGAACTCGGAAGACGAGACTCCTTGCTCGTGGAACGGCGTCATGTGCACTGGTTTTCCGGCGGCCGGCGGCGAGAATAGCTCGGAGGGTGGGAACTGGCAGGACGGCCGGCCTTCCTCTACTGTTTCCCGAGTGATAAGCTTAGTTCTTCCTGGCTCCCAGCTCCTGGGATCCATTACGGATGACCTCGGTCAAGTTGAGCATCTCCGTCATCTCGACCTCTCCGGCAATGTTCTTAACGGAACCCTTCCGTCGGCATTTTTCAATGCGTCGGAGCTCCGGATTCTCTCTCTCGCCGACAACGAGATCTCCGGCGAGTTACCGGAGCTTTTCGGAAAGCTTCAGAGCCTTCAAGTTCTCAACTTGTCCGACAATGCTTTCATGGGTGAGATTGCTAGAAATCTCACCCTTCTCCCCAACCTCACCATCGTCACCCTCAGCAACAACTACCTTTCCGGCGAACTTCCCAGCGGAGGATTCAAAAATGTGGAAGTTTTAGATCTTGGTTCGAATCTACTAAACGGCTCCCTTCCGGCGGATCTCACCGGAGAGAATATCCGGTACCTGAACCTCTCATACAACCGATTCGCAGGCGAGATTCCGGCGAAGCTAGGGTCGAAGCTTTCGTCTAACGTAACGCTGGACCTCTCCTTCAACAACTTGTCCGGCGAGATACCGCCTTCCGAAGCACTTCTAACGCAAAAGGCGGCAGCTTTCGTCGGAAACCATGATCTCTGCGGCAAGCCGCTCAAGAATATCTGCACCATCCCCTCCACACTCTCAAACCCACCAAACAACTCCTCCCCGGCGTCCAAATCCCCTCCAGCCTTCGCCGTGATGCCGAAAACCCCGCAAGGCTATTTTCCGGTGACAGATTCCGGCGACGGCGAGAGCTCTCATAGCTCAGCTGGTCTCAAACCAACAACCATCGCCGCCATAGCCATCGGAGATCTCGCCGGACTCGGCCTCCTCCTCCTCCTAATCCTTTTCTTCCATCACAGCAAGAAAAAACAGGACCAAACCAAGCAGATAAAGTCGGCTCAAAGAACACCAGAACCAGTGTCCAAAAACCACGGCGGCCTATCCTCATGCTTTCAAACTAATTCCAGCGACGGCAACGAAACCGAAGAGACATCAGAGAGCAACATCTCCTCCGAAACCGAAGCAGAAGAAGAGAAAACCGTAAAAGCCGCCGGAAAAGAAGACGGCGGCGGGAAGCCGACCGCCGGCGAGAAGAACCAGGGGGGGATCCTGGTATCAGTTGATGGCGAAACAGAGCTTGAAGTAGAAACGCTTCTGAAAGCTTCGGCCTACATTCTGGGTGCTACGGGAGCCAGCATTGTGTACAAAGCCGTGCTCGCCGACGGGACGGCGTTCGCCGTGCGCCGCATAGGGGAAAGTTCCTCCATTGATAAGCTCAAAGATTTCGAGGCACAGGTGCGCATTATTGCCAAGCTTCGTCATCCTAACATTCTTCCTCTTCGATGCTTCTACTGGGGAGCTGATGAGAAGCTCCTTATTCATCACTACGCCTCCAATGGCAGCCTCGCCAATATCTTCTTCAGCAGTAAATCTCTTTCTCCTCTTAATTCTTTTTTTGTTCATTGATTAATTTGCTGATGAGAACATTGTCAAAAAATGATTAATGGGCTAATCTAGTGTATTAATTACTTATTAGAAAGTCATTTAAATCTTATGAAAGATTAACTGCATCTGATTTTCAGAACTTTTATGCATATAAATTGCGACATTTCAGTTAATTTTTCTGTATTTTTACATAAACTTTCTTATTTACATGAATAAAGCTCACAACTTTAATTTTACATTAATTATATCACTTAATCATTTTTTTTGCGCAATGTTTATGATATTAAAATGTTATAAATGTAAATAGCAAATTTGAGATGTTAGGAAAGTATGTATATAT